TGTGGTTAAGCCTAGGAAAACCTGCTGTGTCTGTGGGGTAGGCAGTGCTTTTTCCAGCCGACACAAGTATTCAAAAAACAGCTTTTCCATAGCAGCCAGAAAGGGTTCCCCATACTCTTGTTCAAGTTCCTGCAGACAGGAAAAAGCAGGTCAGGAGGGGACGAGAAAGCCAAATCATAGCTTCCAAATTCGCTAGTCTCACCTGCAACTTCCAAGCCAAATCCACAGGGGCCTCTGCCAGCAACGTCACCTGCTGGCAGAAGGCTTCCCGTGCCTCTGAGATCTTCTTCAGATCCTGCTCGGTCTGTTAAAGGTAAAGCGGGCAGACAAATTAGGGGCACCGAGGAGTCACTGTGGGTGGGGACGGTTCCAGGGATTACTTACAGCTTTGGGGTCCCGCACGACAGGTCCAGACTCTGGAAAGTGGTGATGCAAGACATTCAGAACCTGGGCCCAAGGCCGGCCCTGGAGGATCAGGTCCACCACCACCTGTGAGTGGGAATGAGCTCAGAATTCCCACTTCGGGGCCAGCTCCCCTTTTGCAACCGCTCCCACCCCCTCAAGCGGTCTGTCCTAGTCTGACCCTTGCATCCCGCCCCTTCCCCTCTTCCTGTTCTCGGTCCCACCGGCCCCAATACCTTGGCCTTCAGGCCCATACACAGGCGCTCGTGGTGGCGGTAGCGAACCAATCCAGGAGCTGCGGCGCGCAGACACCGCAGGAACTCCAACACCCGTGGGAAATGTTCCACGCGGCGTCGGCGCACGACCAGCCAGTTGGCAGCGGCAGCTACGCGCAGGGCCGCGGGGCCGGCCCCCGGGGGCTCGGCCATGGCCCGCGCGCTCGGCCCCCGCTGAGGTCCTTCCCACAAGGCCTCTGACTCCGCCCAGGGGCGGGGCTTCCGTTGTGTCTGGGGAGCCGTGCGCTTCGCGGTCCGATTCAGCGCCCTGCCACAGGCCGCCAGAATCCTGTAGGTTTTCTCCAATTTGGGCGGGAGCCGGGCTGAAGAATCTAGCGGCCCCAGTGGTTCCAGGGCGTTCGCTCTGCCTTAAACGGCGCCGTTGTCTCGAACCCGAGGGCTGCCGCGCTTCCGGCCCTGCGACCGGTTTCTCTCGCCCCGGAAAAGGGCGGTAATGGGAAACCAAGGGGTCACGGGCGGGGGGAGAGGGGAGAAGACGGGGAACGCGACGGCGCGTCATAAAGCTCCGCCCCGGCGGCCGCCCCGCCCTCTCCGATGGTCCGGGCGGTGGCGAGGCGCCTTCCCAGCCCCGCCGTCCGTCTCTGAGGCTCGCCTGTCCGGTGTGTAAAGCGGGGCATGCGCTGTCCTCTCCGTCATCGTCACCCACAGAAATCCCTTCAACCCCAGGCCGCCACCCGGCGCGGCGAAGCCTCTGGCTGGGACGCCGCTGCCGGTGAGACCTGAGCTGCTGCTCTGACCCAGCAGGAGAGGGCGCCACCTTCTCAGAGTTCCAAGGACACATCGGATTGTTACCTGGTTTTCTTTGGTTGGTGACACTAGTAACTCATGTGCTTTTCTGTATTTCTTTTTGTATCGTGTAATTTAAAATTTTTTTAAAAAGTAAAATAGTTTCGCCGAAACCGGTTTGGCTCAGTGGATAGAGCGTCGGCCTGCGGACTGAAGGGTCCCAGGTTCGATTCCGGTCAAGGGCATGTACCTTGGTTGCGGGCACATCCCCAGTAGGAGATGTGCAGGAGGCAGCTGATCGATGTTTCTCTCTCATCGATGTTTCTAACTCTCTATCTCTCTCCCTTCCTGTCTGTAAAAAATTAATAAAATATATATTTTTTAAAAAAGTAAAATAGTTTCATTTTTCTGTTTTCTGCTGTGCGCTTAGTCCAGGCAGCCCCTCACGGACCGTTTTACTCGTCTGTCCCCAGTGTCTACTTATTTCCACCGCCAAGTACAGAACCTGGCACACAGTGTATATTTTTTTGTTGCTCGAATGAATTACCTGCCCTGACTACCTTACAGGGCTTCAGTGAAACTACCCTTTCCTTTTTTTTATTTTTTTAAAAAAATACATTTTGTTGATTTTTTACAGAGAGAAGGGAGAGGCATAGAGAGTTAAAAACATGGATGAAAGAGAAACATGGATCAGCTGCCTCCTGCACACCCGCTACTGGGGATGTGCCCACAACCAAGGTACATGCCCTTGACCAGAATGGAACCCAGGAGCCTTCCACGCTCTATTCACTGAGCCAAACCGGTCA